ACTCTTTCCATGTGTTTATGCATACACATGGGCAGAGCAAGCCCAGACATGATCTTCCAGTAGGAAAATAATTTTAGCAATGGGATTAGAAGTTTCCTTTAATTGGTTCACTCACCTATGGGGAAGCAGATTTGGGTCCTCTGGTAACATAATATGCTGAGTGTCATTGTTAGGAATCCATGAAATAGGTGGGAGCTGCTGCTCCACACCCATTCTGAAAGGTACATGCATCGCATTCTGAAACTGCAAGGAAGATTAGTTAGGCAACAACTTCCAGTGAATATTCACAGCAATACCATCAGGGAACCATTGTTTCAAATAAAAGTCATTTTTTACCTGACTATGGCATTCTAGAGACATAAGATGCTGTTTTCCCAGGTGTTCCTGGCAAAAAAGGAACTCTGTTAAAACGTATAAAAACCTGTTACGGATAATGAAGAGATAAATTGACTCAAAGTTTTGCAGCGCTGGCTTTTGTTTCACTCTACTACTCAAAGAACACTTGAATACTCTGAACACTGGGAGGTAGCATTGCTTGTATATTTGATCCTTTTCAAAACCATCCAATTTAATTAGAAAATTGACTAAGATGTCAAATCATCTTAACCTCGCTGCCCTCATTATCCATAAAAAAAAAAAAGAGAATGTTATGGGATTACACTGGGTAGGCTCATGGATTTTCTCATAGATAGGCTAGGCTAACATGCAGATCCTAATTAATCCCACATTCAATCGATACTGCCCAAGCTGAACAAAGATGAGACACAATTATAAATAAAAAACATAGGAGCTGTTGAATAACAAGCAGAACGAGAGTATATATTTTCTCCAGATGAAATCCACCACAAGAATAGGCATACCTTATGTGATCGAATCCGGTTAAGTGATTCCCTGAGTGAACTTTCCAATTGCCCTAAATGCTCTAAGCTGCTAATCTTATCTGGATTGGTCCAGTAGCTGCAGAAACTCAAAGTAACTTAAGATTAGTCCAGGGTGGTGACCACCCACAGTATTCATAAGATCATGAAATAGAACTCTACATTCAAAGATTTGGAAGTGTTCACCTCAGCCTCTTATGCACATCAGATAGTTGATTCTGCAGTAGCCTTGATTGGCTAGTCAGGTCCTGGTCAAAATTGCAATTTTGTAGGATATGGTACAATCCATCATCACAGAAGAAAGAGTTTTGAGATGTCATATTTAACAATGGATAAACTAGTTTGCACCCATACCTCTATTGTTTGAGAACTGAAACAAAAAGAACAGCATTCAAGAACTTTAGTACATAACGTTTAAAGAACATAGTCAGCCTATAAGCTACGCAAAATGAAATGTGTCAACATCAACAAGCGCATACCTTGTACCGAGAAATTCTGGTATATTAACATCATGGTCCAGCTTCTTAAAAGTTTTCTTCAGTGCCTATACGCTCAAAGAAAAAGAAAATAATGTAACCAAAAACAATGACAACTGCATCAACAAAACCAAGTGAAAAAAGAGCAGAATGAGAGCAAATATCAGAGAGAGGAGCCTCGTAAACAAGGATCCAAGGACTTACTTCAAGGCTTTCTAACTTCCTGTTCCAATCAAATAAAAGAACAACTTAGTTCCAATTTGATAAATATTCAATGCAGGCATGAGAGGACTAAAAAAATGAAGCAAGAAAACTTTCACAATACCTCTTCGCCCTTTCTTGTGGTGTTAACTGAGCAAATTTTGTAATTACTTCTTCGATGCTACTAAAGAAGGAAAAGGAAGGGCATTATGCAAAATTGTTTACGTCGGTGAGAACCAAAATATGATGACAAACAAAAGTGATCATGATTATTGAATATAAAATCTAGAGGCCACACAACCTTAATATACAGCTTTGCCCCTCAACCAGATACACAACTGATATGCAAAAATAAATTGAGGGTCACACATGCATGTGAAAATCAAGCTATAACTCCCAATTAGTACCGTATAGTAGCTAAACAATGAATAATGGGAAACCACTGGGGTGGATGATGAGAGATGTGATCAAATTGAATCTGTATTCTATGCAATGAAATTCCCGAAAAGATGCAGAGCAAGAAATTTCACAGGCAAGCTTAAAGTTCACTCGCTCACTTTAATTCTCTAAAAAGGTTGAAGCGTGGCATTAATGACAGTACCTGCTTGCTCCTTTACACAACGAAGGCTTGCCGGTAGGTGAAAACATGAGAAGGATAATGTCTATGTCACATAGTATAGATAACTCATTAGCCTTCTTCATGATACCATGTTTCCTCTTGGCATAGGTCGCTTGACGTCCATTTGTATTCTCCAATTTCTTAATCTTTAGCTTCACCCTACCCATCCTGCATGTTTAACATCACCATGTAACCATCAAAAGATGTCCATGATTTGAAAGCCTATATAGAATATTCCACGTTTCTCAAAGTTTCCACTGACCTCTAATTTCATTTCAGCATTTAATTTCCAACATTAAGCACGTATTTCAAACCAGGTATTAATTGTTCATCAGTTAGCATCAAAATATCCTCGAAAGTTTGCAAATTTATCATGATTAAACACCTTTTAATACCTAATGCACCGAAATCAAGTATCAAAACAATAAGTACATAAAGACCAGCCAAGAGATTTGACAAATGAAAGTTGATCAAAAAACAAATGCAGATATGGAAAGCAATAGTTTTGACATAAGAGAGAAAGGGAAAGAAATGGGATCGTAGGAAAAGAAGAAACTGGGAATTTAAAAAGGAAAAACAATATAACAGCCAAGAAGAACTAAGCCATTTAGGTAGCTATTGTGACTGCCAAACAAAACAAAAGAATGAAACAGTCACTGCCCAGTTTCCTCTTAATGAAAAGAAAGAGGAAAATCTACGTATCTGCCAGCCTCTATCTCTGTCTTTCTGATTAAGAAGAGAAGAGTTGCAGGGGAAAAGAAACAACGAAAAAGGAAAGAAAGAGAACTTGCCTTAAGGAGCAAATCAAACGACGAGTGGAATTTGGATGATGGAAAAGAATATTTAAATGTGGGAACCAGGAAAAAGCAGAGAGAGAAAGAGGAAGAAGAAGAAGAGAGAGAAGGGGTTGCATATATGATAGGATTGCATGACATGACCGGGTGAACGCCAAAATCGGTCACCCAACGAAGCTTGAGGGTCGGGATCGTCAGTAAGTCGCCCCCGATAGCTTCAAACCAACCAAAAAAACACTTGACAATAACCTTCGCCATATCACCACCTCGGGAAAAAAAAAAAAAAAAAAAACACACTCCACTACTATTCATTCTTTCCGTTTCAGATCTGTACCTCTTCTTTATTCTTTCTTTTTATATTTAAAAAAATCAAAAATATATTTTTAAAAAAAAATTCATATCAATACATTTTAAAAATAAAAAATAATTTATTTATTTTTAATTAAAAAATAATTTTAAAAACAAGCTCTATTAAAATAACAATCAAGCCCAAGAGGCAATTTGTGTTGCCCGAGAAAGGCAACGAAGACGGAAACAGGGCAAGAAAGCGTTCTGAACAAAATTACAGATGTTGAATGCATTGAAATTATACATTTTTTTATATTAAGTGTGTATTTTCTTCATATAAAATTCTTAAAATAAATATAATCTAAAGTATTATATGATTACAGTATATAGATTGTTTATGTATTGATATATTTAAATTTTAATTAATAAAAAATTAATGTTTACTGTAAATATGTGAACTATAATAATTAAAAAGCAGGTGTATTATTTTGTCGTTAGGTAAGCTTGTATTTGTTTTCGTAGGTAAACTTGTTTTTTAAGATGTTTTTAAAACTATATTTTATTTAAGAATTATTAAATTAATATTTATATATATTCCAATAATTTTAATACATTGATATTTTTAAAAAAAATATTAATCTGCTGTTTACCTTCTTATTTCTTTTGTTACCTGCTAGGCGTGCTTTAATTGTGGACCGGATAGAGTTTAGTATGTTAACTTTGAAAAAAGGGAGTACATTATTTTACAACTGGACCAGCTTCATTAAATCTTAAATCTTGAGAGTATTTGTTTCTGACTCAACTTGTTTTTAATTTTTTTTTACTTGTAAAAATATCAAGTAAAATTTTATAATTTTAATATGTTGATATAAAAAAATTATTTTAATATATTTTTTATTAAATATTTTTATATAAAATACTATGTACCGATTAAACATATGGAAAAAGGCGAAGATGCACATTAAAAGATTAAAAGAAAGAGAGAGAGACATAATTCAACCATTTTTTTGCATCCCCCTCCAAAATAATGCCCTTCTTAAAAAAAATAGGTTTTTTAAAAAAGTGGTCTCCATAAAAAATTGATTTATTGAAAAGTGAAATAATTTTTTGTTTTTGATGCCGTTGTGAAAAATAAATTAAAAAAAAATTACAATGTTTGGTCATACCATAAAAAATAAAATAAGAAATAGCTTGTTAATGTTTTTTTTTTAAATTTCAAGTTTGTTAAAAAACAAGAATCAAGTCTAATAGATAAAAAAAAAATCAAAGAGTATGAAATTAAAAAATATATATATATATATATTAAAATTATCTAAAATAAAACAAATATCAATAAAAAAATAAAGACTAAATTTGATAGGTTAAATGATTGAAAGATGATAAAATTGAAAAATAAATTTAGACTCCATGAATTATTTAAAATAAAAAAAATTACAATTAAAAAAATATGGACCAAATATGAAAAGTAACAAAGTTGAAAGTAGACTAAACTTGAAAGAAATTTAATTTTATAAATTATTCAAAATAAAATAAATAATAAAAAAATAGACTAGATATGATGAATAAAAAAATATTTAAATTGGAAAAAAAATCAAGAGAAACATAGATAAAAATAAAAAAAAATGAAGACTAAAATTAATTTAGAAATAAATTAAAATAAAATCTTAATGAAATTTAAAATAATTAATAAATAATATGATATTTTAAATTTTTATAAATTTTGAAAAACATATTTTGTCCAAAATAAAAAAAATATTTTGCTACAAACCAGACCATATTTTTATATCAAATTTCACAGTAAGAAACAAATATATAAAGATGTAACAAATAATTTTCAAAAGACTACTTTGAATGAAACAAATGAAGAATAACACCACAACTTCAAAAAATTTAAAATGGAAGTCATACTGAGTTCAATCGATCTGTGACCGTGTGAAGAACCTCCTCATTAAGATGGGCTGTGTTTTTTTTTTTTTTTTTTTACCAGGCTGATTACAGAAAATGCTAGAATTGAAATTTGCTGTGAATGGCCATTCCACAAATACAGTGTATTAAAACCTCTAGCCCAGAAAGAGGATACAACAGCCCAAGAAACATAAAAGCCCCATTACAAAATCAAACGCTACCTCTTTAGATGGGCCTCCACAGTAAACTGCTTCTCCACCATGGGTCCACTGGCGGTATACTTTCCTCCTCAGCTCGACCCTGTCCTTGATTTCCCATACAACGAAGTCGAAATCCCATTTCATGATATCTCTAGGCCGATCAATCGCTGTCCCAAACTGTTGGTTTCCGGTTTGTCTCGTCAATCAAGGCCTGCTTTTGTTTTTCTAAAAGATTTGGGCTTTGTGGGCCTACAAAAGTTAAATTATCAAACCAACTCGTCGCTTGTTTTTAACGTGGAGAGAAGTTTGACGGGTAAGACTGAATTTAGGAAGGTTAAAATTATGGATGCGAGGGCGCCTGGGATTTAGAACGCGGCTCAAATTGTGTTTTTTAAAATTTTATTTTATTTTTTAGATTATTTTAATGTGTTAATTTTAAAAATATTTTTTAATAAATAAATAAATAAATATTATTTTTAAGTTTAAAATACCCTGAACAGGAACAATCATTACAATCCCAAACAGCCCTTGGCGAGAGAAATGAACAGGAATTTGTGGCCTAAACTTGATTACCTTGTGAGAGAAATAAAAGGTGATTTAGTGGAATTTAAGAAGTTTCCGCAGTTCTTTCGTTTAGTCTTGAGAGGAAGATTAAGCCTGGGCATAGAATGCTGGTGGAGTATGGACTGAAGATGCCACTGTCGAGAATGTTAAAGGTTGATGAAGGGGAACTCAACGCTTGGTTGTTTGAAATGCAGCTGAGAATGGTGGAGGAGAGTTAACTTCCTTGGACATACTCAGTAAGTTGACCCATTGCTTGCTTGCCTGTGTATTTTGATAAAGTAAAGTAATGACCCCTTGCGTGCTTGCCTGTGTATTTTGATAAGGTAATGTTTGGATTATGCGATATACTATGATAGCATTACATGTGGGCACGTTTTGAGTTGCTATAGATTTGATTGAGATATCATGTTGATTGTGAATCGTAATTTGTGTTTTAGGACGTGAAAAACTGTCTCGTGTTTATAGAGTTTGATTCTGTGTAGCGTAGTTCATATGCAATTAAACTGTCAAGGGAAAGATTGAAAGAGAAACATTTAAAAAGAAAAGAAAAGAAAAGAAATAGGGACACAACATGCATTGCAGGAAGGTATGCTTAGCCGTGTACATGGAACTTTTCTTGGATGTGAAAAATTGTCTCTGTTTCAAGTGTGAGTGTGGTTTGTGCAGCTTAAGGAGCCAAGACGTTGATCATCAAGCCTGTGGTTAACATTGGTTTGGTATGTCGCGACATAGTCAAGCCTTAACAGAAACCAAACACTTTATGATGTCTTGCTGTGTTAAACTTTTTCTCTTACACGTGCTCTGTCGCAGAGCTTCTAAGGACGCTTGATATCATAGAGATGTTCCATCCCAGTGATGTGAATCCTAAATCTCTCAGATTGGGAGACTCCAAGAACTACCTTTATTTCTCAAACTCTGTTCTGGAAGGAAACGTTTAAAAACTCAACTGAATTTGGCAGTGTTGGGAGGATTTCGAGCAGTGGCTTTAAGCCTATAACAACCTTGAGGAATAGTCAAGTGAATAAGAAAGTCCTACTATTCTTTCCTGCTACCAGAATGTCACTTCAAGGATATTTAAGCATCTCAGCAACGAGTACGAATTAAGTGGTCTTCCGAACTTATTCAAAGTGGTATAATCTGTTGAGATCACCTTAACTGTATTCTCAAAGATTATCCTTGGGATTAACTACTAAAATACCCCTTGTTGGGAATTCCGACCGGTGATATACTGATATTTGCTCATAGGAGGCCAAACACACTGATACAATATTTAACGTGATTCGGCAAAACCGCCTACATCCACGAGAGAAGCCATTGCATTATGTAGGGAGAGAACAAGATTTACAACAAT